TAGCTAATGTCGAAACTCCAGCCACTGTCGGGACAAGAACCTCAGGACCTCCCGATCTCAGGCACTGCAGTACCATCAGTTGTTTTAATCGAGAAACGTGAAGATTCAGCTGCAATTGCACGTGACATGGGCACGCCGCGCCGCCCCGCCCCACCTCGCTGCCGCCGTCCTTCCCGAACCGCGTGCTTTCTCGCGGGCGGTCCGATTGCTTCCCCGCGTTCGCCGGTGCCGACTGAAAGCGTGGCGGAGGAAGACGGAGGGGAAGAAAAAAGGATGGCCCGCCGTCGCCTTTCCGCTCGGGTCGGCACGGCCACGCCGCCGGCGCGGCGCGGCGGGCAGGCAGTAGGCTGGGCCGGGGGGCGGGCCAGCCGGCTGGCCGCCCGGCGGCGCGGCGCGTTGTACAAAGGCTGCAGGGGAGGCTGATACAGTGGACAGCAGTTTCGCGTGACCCGCGTGGCGCCAGGCACATCATCAAGCCTATGAGTAGAATGAACGACGTCTTCGTTGAATACAGTTTTGGAGAGTTGGGATGGAGTAGTACGACGTGATGTATGAGAAACTCCAAAATGCTTCCTTCTCTTCCTCTTTCTTTTTCTTGTCTTCTCCTTCTTATCCTATTTCTCTTCTCTTTCTTCGTATCCTCTTTCGTCGCTCCTCTTTCTTTCATCTCCATCTCTTCTCCTGTCCTCCTCCTCCTCCTCTTCTTCTCCCTGTTCTCCTTCTCCTCCTCCTTCTCTTCTCCCTGTCCTCCTTCTCCTCCTCCTCTTCTTCTCCCTGTCCTCCTTCTACTCCTCATCCTCCTCTTCTCCCTGTCCTTCTCCTCTTTTTCTCCCTGTCCTCCTTCTCCTCCTCTTCTTCTCCCTGTCGTCCTTCTCCTCCTCTTCCTTTCCCTGTCCTCCTTCTCCTCCTCTTCTTCTCCCTGTCCTCCTCTGCCTCACTCTTCTCCTCCTCGTCTTCATCTGGTGAGTTCGTGGGTGGCGTGATCATTCCCCAAAGATTCTCTTTCTCAAGATAGTCGTTTCATTCAGGAGATAGGATTCCCTTTTATATCGTTCTCTGTAAATCGTAGTCTGTTCTTGGTTGACCGGGTTTTGCGTTCTCCACTGTGTTTCCTTGAAGAAATTACGTACACCTAATTGAATGGTACAGTAAGAATCGAATTCAGTTCTTTCCACTTTCTTATGATTATAGTTAAGAGTACGTTTTCTCACTTACTTTAGCGTTCAAGTTCACGAATTCTCAAAGTAATCTGTATTGAAAATGATATTCTCAAATTTGCACTATAATGTTTTTTGTTTTTTTAAGAAAAAGTTTCACTCGAATAACTTTATCGACTGACGTAGCTAAGGGCATTAAATGATGTCACTGCAGTAACTATGACCGAAAGGTCCTAGAGTTCCAGTTTCCATGATGGCAGGTTTTTCTACACTAGCTACATAGCTATAAAAATAGATCGAAATCAACCGCTGTCGTGAGAAGAAACCTAACTGCTCAGATCGATAGTTTTCCGTGTTTTCTCCGCTTAACACCAGGCGAATGTCTGAGCAGTACCTTAACAACGGGCCTACCAAACGGGGTGATCTTTTCTTACTCTTCCTTGGCCTATCCTCGCCCCAGACTTACATACACACACATACATGCACTGCAATACAATAAACTTCGGGAGACCAGAGCTAGACTAGGCTGGGGTGGTGCCCCACTGGTGGGAGATACCTGGATGGACCAAACCCTGCAAGCCGACGACTAGGCCTGCGATGGATATCACTCCATCGGGGAAAGAACACAGCCTCTTCCCGCGATAAAACCATTCACTATATTTACGGAACTGATCAGTTGACGTGTCCCGAAACACGAAACACTCAAGCACTCTAAAGGTCCATTCACAATGCAAACATAAGCGTAAGCATGGCGTTAACTTAAAAGTTAGAACTACGTCCATAAGCGGACTAATTCACAATGGGTTCGCATAAGCATAACATGTAAGTCGTTAACTTAAAAGCTTGCAAGCTTTGAGCTTCTGTGCTTATGCGCAAGTAAGACATAAAAAATGAACCAATCACAGTACGGTAACTCAAAATCGAGAATCGAAAGATGAACGTAGTCGATAGACGAACTAACGCCTTATGGGCCATGGTCACAGTAGATACCTCGAAATCGATTCTCACATCCAACCAATAGTAAACTAGAATGCCTCACAGCCAATAGAACTTCATTTTTGCTTACCGGTTATGTTAGACACTTGAAAACTTCAGTCATATAACTTAATGTTTACGTCTATGCGTTATTCTTATTGTTTACAATGATAATAAAGGATGTTGGTCTAGTATAATACTTTTTATTCAGCTATGATCGTTTCGGATCGCATAGCGATCATCCTCAAGCTTGGCAGGCTTCCGC